CTACTACTACTCCTGCTCCTGCTCCTACTCCTAGTCCTGATGCTGCTGCTTTTGCTGCCGCTGCCGCTGCTGCTGCTGCTGCTGCTGCTGCTGCTGCTGCCACTACTGCTACTCGGTTCTTGTTACTGCTACCGTTATTGGTGCTGTTGCTGCTGTTGTTACTGCTAATTACCAATGCTGCTACGTGGCTCTTACTCTTCCTCTTGCTACTACGGCTGTTACGACAACGGCGGCAGCAGTCAACTAGAGGGAACGACGCATGATTGAACTTCGTTTTGGTCATCTTGAAACTGTCTGGTCTTTCAATCACGGAGCCCTGAAAACTGCACCCTAGCAGCCCCTTGGATCAGTATCACCACCCTTGGACACCCGACAGCTTCTGGTTGAAAGGCTTTGCGAACAACAACATCGCCGCACCACCAGCGCGTACAGCATCAACAACAACCACCGCAACAACAGTCATAGCCATCGCTACCAGCATTTAGTGGTGACGAGGAAGACCATCATATCTGAGGCCCAACGAACCCAACCCTAAAACAGCAAAGTTAAACCCTCAGCCCTATACACCTTTCTGAGGACAACCCTAAACCCTAAACCCTTTTAGGACCTGGCGTGGAGTGTGGCAGCGCTTCGGGGCAGAAGAAGGGTCCTCCAAGGCCCTGAAACTTCGTCGCTGTGCAGGGCTCCCTCGGGTTAGGGTTTTGGGTTTAGGGTTGCTCAACAATCGCTATGTCACTAGCTAGGTGCCTGAATAGCTGCCCATACACTATTCTTGGTGCACTTACGGTACAAATACAAAGCAATAATGGAAATATATAAAAAAGATAAAAGGAGAACGACTATGAATAATATACCGCCTAAACTTATTCTGATTATTCAGAGACCCTTAGCTGCCATACGTGGATCTTCTCCGAGTTTATTGCGGTCCTACTGGGACGTTCTTCTGGGTTTCCGAATAGGATTCAGAAGATCTGGCAAGGTTTTGGGGTAGGGCATACAGGTTGTGGAGCTCAAGTCTCAGGGCTTTAGGAGGGACCCTCAACCGGGACCCTTGTAGGTTGTTGGGGATGGAGACTACCTGGCTATATAAGAGGTATAGAAGGACTATACAACGGTTATTTAAGGAACTGGGATTAAGGGTCCTTATTAGGGGTCCCTCCTAAAGTTCTTTTTATCAAGATTGAGGCTGTGGGTTTTTGGTACAAGAGTCCCCACAGAATCCATGGTTGACTTGGCTGATCGTTGCATGCTTTCAGGATGCATCCCTCAACCTTGGACCCTGAACCGCGGTACCAGGAACCTCGCCTAGGCATGTCCGAGAGTGAGTGCTGAAACCGCGGTTAAGGTTGCTTTAGAAGCCTAGATAATTACCAAGAATGCCTTAACACTAGACCCTAAACCCTAAACCGCAGTTGTCGTACAGAACCCCCCCCCCCCCTCCCCGAGCGCCTTCTTGCAACTTCTGAGGCTCCCTATTACGCTCCTACCTTCTTGAAACCTTGGACCCTACCATCCCTAAACGCCAAACCCAAAACCCTATAAACCCTCAAACCTAAGCCCTAAACCCGATGAGATTAGGGGACATGTCGAATTCAGCACTTGATTGAGAGAGAAGAAGTAGAAGGGTTTAGGGTTTAGGGTTGATTTTGAGTTGGTGAATACGCCAGCTCTGGCCAATCTGCTGTCGTCGTACTTGGAACCTCGCCAGGCTTGTCCCAGCTGTGAGTGCTGAAACCCTAAACTCGACTCGAAGCCTTAGACCTCACCAAGCTCCAAGCGCTGAATCTCTAGTCCTGCGCTGGTATTGCAGCCGTACCAAAGATCAGCTTAGGTTTTGTGGTTTTGGGTTTAGGGTGTTTTAGGGTTTGGGTTTAGGGGAAGAGGTATCACAACAGTAGGGGCAGAAGAACAGTGTACGGTCAACAGTCGGCATGAAATCGAGAATACTCGACCGCCAGTCATAATAAGACCGTTGTGCAGTTATGGTATACCACTCATTCATGGCATGTTGGGATCACCAGAGTTTTGCGAGGTCCTAAAGCCGACGCGCCACTTCCAGGTGGGGTTTTCTGCGGGCCAGGTTTTAAGGTTTAGGCTGTATGAACGCCTCAGGATTTTTTGTGTGGGGTTTCAGGTTTTTCGGGTGCCCAGAGACCGGTCACTCAACCCTAAACGGGTCCCGCCCGACTTTGCCAGTTTCACTCGGGAGACCTGCCGCATCGACTGAAAATTAGTATCCCTCAGAAGTACCCTTACAATAATCCCTAAACCCTAAACCCTTACAAGAATCCGAGCCGATCTTGCTCAACTACTTGCTGTTATGCGTCCAAAGAGATCCGGGGAATGTGGAAAAGCCTATCAACTTAGGAGCTCAGGGTGGAAGACATCGTCAGGGTCCAGCATGGGAGGCTCAGGCCCATGTTACAGGACCTAAATAATTACCGATACTATTTTGGGGATTCCTTTTTATGGGTATAGTAGGGCCCCAAAACCCTATTCTAATTGTTAAGGCCCCTACATTAGGCTTCAAAAAGAAGATCTTGCAATCCTTGTGTACGGGTTGAGGACCCCAACCCTAAACCCGAAACCCATACTTAGGATCATCGACCCCAACACAGTCTTTCCCTGCTCAGTGTCCGGTAGGGCAGCCTCAAGGGGTTCAAATTGAGATCAACCCCAGCACCTTGAAACCAGGGTCCAAGAAGGGCGCCCTAGAATGCCTTGAACCGCAAGCCCCAAGCACGACCTACGGTTTGGGCCTAGAGATTAAGATGGTTTAAGCCCAGAGAATCCAATACCCCATGTTTTAGGAATATGCCTTAAATTATAGGGGC